AATCTTCCTGCCTCAGCCTCTGTAGTGTTGGGATTACAGGTGTGTGCCACCATGCCTGGCCTCGCCTCTGGGTTTTGACAAGACTTTAGGAAACAGTTTTGTTTACTATTTGTGTTGAAGTATTTTGCTTCTGAAATCTTTTGAGTGTTTTATTCTCATTGTAATTTGTCCCCCATTGTTGCTATTTTCCTTTCCTATAGTCATTTTCCCCCCAAAACCCTCCTTTAATGTAATTTAGCCTTTTTTATTTTAAAAATTTAAAAACTGACAAAACAACAATGAAGACAAAATCAAAACAACACAAAAACAACAAAAATGATACATGACCTCAAAACAAAATGATAGCGATTTACATTTGTTCTTATATTACATACTGTTATCTTCAACAACGTTGCTCAGTGCACTAGACATAAGAATGTAAGCTTGATCAAATAATTAAAGACAGTAACAAAAAAATAAATAAATAAAAAAATAAAACATTGGAAATGATGCAGAGCTTCTCCATACAAGATGGTAGGGGTTCAGTGATGGTCCTTATACTGTATATTGTTTTCAGACCAGTCATTCAGATTACCAAATTCAAGTGTGCAAAATTGGTCAAGAAAAAAGAATATTTTAAGCACTGACTGTTCCTCTCAATAAACCACAGACATCAACAATACACCTATTCCAGCTCTTTATATAAATTTTTTCATTTAAAAAAACCCAAAATAACAAAAACAAATCAGCATAGAGAACAATAAAAATGATACAAAATTTCAAAACATGGTGATAGGATATTAACAATGGTTGTTATATTACCTCATGTCATCTTCAAAATGGTTGCACATATAACCAGATATAGGCGTGCAAGACTGATCAAACAGTTTAATGTAATTTAACATTTATATGCTTACTTTCATATCTTAGTATTTGAAAATTCTAATGATCAAATCCAAATTTCATAGGGATAATTTTCTTTTTTTATAAGCATATGTAAGAGTACAGTTTGCATTTATTTAATTTTAAAGTGTGAGTTTTCCCCTCAAAAATACAGTAGCCAGAAAGGTAGAATATAAAATACTATGTAGTCTATATGTATTCTGTATGTTTTCTTCATTAGGAAGTTTTAGTATTTTACTTTCAGTAAATAGAACTTTCTAAAAATACAGTACAGTGTCTTTTTCATACTGATACTTCCTATGATTATTTTTTCTTAGAATGTTATATATTTGCTACTTTTCCTAAACAGCAGCAAATACTAGTACTCTCATTTCCCAATACTAGAATATCTTAGATTATCTAATTTTCTAGGATAAGGCAATCAAGAATTACTTTTAGACGGCATACTTTGTTACCTTGTTATGCTTGGAATCATGATTCTGGCACTATTTTCACTCATTGTAAGTCAGTTATTTCATCTTCAGAAATGCCTTAAGTCTCTGTGAAATTATAATGCTTTTGACGTTTTAAGAGAAAGCAAGTTTTCCTCTTGTGTTAGCACAACTTGTCAGTTTTTTGGTTTGTTTTTGCGCTGATATCTCTCTTTTTCCAAATGGTATTTTTCCCCCAATCCAAGTATCTTTAAAAATGTAGAAGCTGTCAGTCTATTCCACATTACTGCCAAATTACTATTCCTGTTTCTTAATACATGCCAGACACACTGCTGTGTTCCCTTTGATAACTACTTCATCTTTGCGTCTTCTTCTTTAGAGGGTGATGGGGTTAGATTACGTGGTTTCTGAGGTCCCTTAGGTAATGACACTTTTATTTCAAACTAATGCAGTCAGAGTGGAATGTGCTTTTAGCTCTTATTGTTGGCTTAACCACATACCAATCCAATTATTTAAATACAAGATGACCAAAAATTGCATATTTTTGTTAATTTTTATAAGAATATAATAGGAAATGTAAAAGCGACAGTTTTATCAAATTTATTCAGTACAACTTGTTGAAATGTTACCTGCCCAAGCAACACTTGGGATAGTCAGTACATGAACAAACATGCTGTCTGAGTGACGCTTGGGGTAAATTCTCAGGTAGTTAAGGAGTCCTGGAAATGGCCATAGACCAGTGACATGATTAGTAAAAATCCTCCCCATTTTCTCTCCAGAAGTTAACAGTCTACTGTTGTGCCATAACTTTATAACTTTGATGTGTGTATGCTAACTAAAAAAATGAAAGAAAGTTATACGATAGTTACTTTCACAACTCAGAATTTCCACAAATCCAGGAAGACATACAAAACTCTTCTGTGCAGCTGACAGAAGTTCAGCTCAACTAATTGAGCCTAAGAGATGCATATAGGGTGTATACAGTGGTGAGAGGGGAACTTTAATGGCTTCTGTAGTGAAGAGTGGTTACAGGTAATGTAGACCTTGTGGGCCACTAGAACTAGACAGTAGGTGTTGTAAGGGGAGGTTGTTTCTCCTCCTTAATTGCATTTTATTTTTACTCTCTCTTCTGCTAAAGAATTTTCTCTGTGAGTCATAAGACATGATCATAAATGATTCCACACTTACCTTGTAGTTCAACTTGAGGCTAGAGGTCTTACTAGCCAGCTCCAGTTTACAAAAAATAGTCCCAGGGAAGGACTCTTTATCAACCCAGTCTAGCATATTAGCCTTCCTCTGTGATCGAGGAATAGGTCTTATTGACAAAAGAAGTGATTGGATCATCAAGCAAAGATTGTTTATGGTACAAACAGAAAACCCCCACTATTGGTACTTAAAGTGATCAAGTTTTGAACTTATTCAAAACCAGCCAAAAATTCCTATGGGTTATAATTTATAATGAGATTTTTCTTCCATATTACTTACATTTATTTGTTCATGCATTTTGCCTGACTTGTGTGGTAAAGGCCATATTCTTTGTTCACATAGTCCATTAGTTGAATCAGTCTCTGGGTATTTCAGTTCAACTGGATATTATTAAATTTTGAATTTAATACACTCTGTTCTATGAGAATAGGGCTTTGATTTGCATCCAAGCACATTATAGTCAAATGTGGATAGAAGATACCTGTCTTATGTACCTGTTCCTTGACCTTCCCATCTCAGTTCTTTTAATTTTCTCCTTTTGTCTCAATTTATACCACATCCTCTTAAGTCAGTATGCCATAATAAAACTGATAAGTAATACTGTTTATTTTTGTTATTTTGTTATTCCGTATCTAGTTGATGTATCTTTATGCAGAAAGCTAACGTTTCCTTAATATGATTTATATTTAGTGATTATTCTCTGGCTTCTGAATTTTCAAAAACTAGATTATTTGGTTCAGCCAACATTTGTTGAGTGCCTACACTGTGCTCTAGGCACTGGGATTACAAAGAATGAAACAAATAGTTCCTCAAAAATAAATTTAGAGACAAGCGCAATTAGAAAATTTCTCACCTCATGATGACATTATTTAACATTTATCACCTTTATAATGACTCATTTAAAGTTTAACCTGAGTTTTACATTTAAAGTTTTACCTGAGTGTAATTTACTTGAGAAAGATGATGCTGTTTTCAAAGGGTTTTTGTTTTTTTAATTGCTGTGACTATTGTTTCCTCCAGTAAAGAATGGTTTCCCATGCTAAGAATACCACTGTATTAAAAATGAAAGCATTTTCTCTGCTGATACTGTTCTTACAGTCATTTACTTTAAAAAAAAAAAAGGTTGAGCCAGCCATGGTGGCACATGTCTGTTGTAATCCCAGCTATTCATGGGGCTGTGGGACTAGAAGATAGCAAATTTGAGGCCAGCCTGGGCAAATTAAAAAGACCCTGTCTCAAAGAATATTTTTTTAAAAAATGAGGTGGTTGTAGCTTAGTACTAGAGTGCTTGTTTTGCATGTGTGAGGCCCTAGGTCCAATCTTCAGTGCTTGGATGGAAAAATGCTATAGTACTATCTGCTATTCAAAATTATTTTACTGTGTAAAATCTCAAATATTAAAGAGAAAGTAGTGTAATTAAACACTATTGGTAATATTTTTTAGAAAGTGTTGATTGTGAGGCTAATAGTAATTTCTACTATGGATTCATGTAACTTATCCTGAAATTTGTGTACTTTCCTTCTGCTGAGTACAACTAAAAAAGTCTCTATTAACTAATAATTATAAAATTTACCTTTGCAGCTTCCTATTAAAAAATGTGTTAGGAAAAGTTAGTGTGAATATGACTGAAACTATTACTCTAAAGAAAGATATCTTAAGTGCCTTAAGAATCTCAGAGGCATCTTCAGCACTTGTACATATTTTTACATGTGCAGTAATTAGTTGAAATCTGTTTAGTTTTTAAGATACTCTCATTTGCTCCTAATTCAAATGTAACAAATCTTGTCTTTATCAATGTGTTTTTCCCCCTTAATATTTTAAAGACATTTAATTATTTGGATTTTCACCATCCACTCCAAAGTAACATTGTTCACATCTAACATGAGGTTATGTATCACTTATTCATTTTGAGACTGTTGAGAGAAAAGATTGACAATTTTAAAACAGGTAATGACATAACTGATAATATTAAAATGTCAGCATTAGGCAAATCATTAAAATATATTACATGTGCAGTAACTATTCTATAGTAATAATTTAAATTTGCATTCCAGTATCTATTACTATATGTCATGATAAATAGCATAAAAGATAAAAGGGTTTTTGATATTTTCATTTGTTTTTTGGTGGCTGGGGATTGAACCTAGGGCCTTTGTGCAGAGCTACATCCCTAACCCTTATGTTTTTGAGGCAGTATCTCACTAAGTTGTTGTGTTGCTCAGGTTGGAATTCGGATCTATGTGCTTCAGCCTCTCAGAGTGCTGTGATTATAAGCATGTGTCACCATGCCCGAATAAGAGTTTTTTGTTTTGGGTTGCTTTTTGTTGGTTGGTTGGTTGGTTTGTATTTTTTTAAAACTTTTACAGTTTAGTGCAGTGACTAGTAGAATGACAGAAAAGTGACTTCTTCATAGTAATTAAACTGCTTGACTATTATGAAAATGAACCTTGATGTTGTATATCAATTTTTATTCTTTTAAAGGAAGGTGCATCTGCCCGTAAGACTCAGACTCCTGCAGCACAGCCAGTACCAAGACCAGGTAAAAATATAAAACTCCCCTCCACCAAATGATTATAACATGAAATGTTTTTGTATGTTTAATACTCCTTTAGAAACTGACATTTACTTCAAATACATTGAGAAGTAATTTTTTTTTTAAAAAATTGACTATTACTTATGCAGATCTCAAAACAATACACAAACTGCTTGCTAAACTTATACATCTTTATATTACTAGCAGAAAAACATGATGTTAAAATGAAAAACGTGGAATTATTTATTTTCTTATAGCGTGTTGAAACAGCTCAACTGGGTTTTGTAATATTCTTTACTGGAGTAATATTTTCCCCAATTTGATTTAAGAGTAATTGATAAAATAGATTGTAACACACATATAACACTAAAAAAGGTTTTATAGCACTATATTTTTTAATAATGATTTTTTAAGATATGCCCTAAGAGCACTTACATGGATAAACAGGTACAGCTGAAGAGTGAAAGAAAATTTTAATGTTTTTATTTTAGTTTAGAGTTTTAAAAATCATTTTAAAATATTTTAAAAGGCTATGTGTATTCCCTTTCGTACTAATTCTCTACTCTAGATTCATGATAGCACATGCAAATGTGAATTTCTTCGTATACAAGCACAACATCATAATTTTAATACATTGATGTGCAACTTTGATGTTTAGAATTTTGAATATCTACTATTGAGTACAGAAAGTTCTGTAATCATACAGAATTAAGTATGTGGTAAGCAAAAGTAGCATTAGTTATTTTAAAAAAAATTTTCTGTCTTTCTAGTAACTAAAAAGAATGATCTTTATGGATGCACGTAGATACTAATACTATATTCATTTTAGATGTTTTGCAGTTGTTTTTGGTTTTGGTGTTTATTTTTTACATTTAGTATAAGTTCACTGCTAGGCTGTACTACATTTCTCATTTTTTTTTTTTTTTTTCCGGTACCGGGAATCAAACTCACGACCTCACGCATACCAGGCAGGCACTGTGCCACTGAGCTAAATCCCCAGGCCCTGTACTACATTTCTTTTTTTACCTCATCAGTGGTGTTGAAAGGAAATTTGAAGAAAATGAAAAGGATTGGAAGAACACAGGGTGATACTCCTCATAAACTTGGCAGTGTCAGCTGTGCAGATTTCAATATCTTTTCATTTGTAGTAGTACATTTCCACATGGGCGAATTATAAAATTAGGATTCAATTGTAAATATTAAATATTTCTAAAATCACTTCAAAAGTACGGTTTTTTCAAAATGATTACCTGTTTGTAGTACCTAAAGTTTACATTCATCTTGGGGAATGTACATTACATAGCTTGTTTCTGTTTTTAATCCCATTCCCCTTTCCAACCAATATGTTATTTTGTTGGAGTGACTCTGCAGGCAGTTTTACTATGTCCTGGATCAATAACCTATTGGACATGGCAAGTCAGTCTGTCTGTCTCTGTCTCTGTCTTTGTCTCTGTCTCTGTCTCTGTCTCTCCTTCTCCCTCTCCCTTTCCCTGTCCTTCTCCCTCTCCCTCTCCCTCTCCCTCTCTCGTCTCCCCCTTTATATCTCTCTTAGTGAGTTTGCTTGAAATAGTTTTCCTCTTTTTTGAGGAACAGTTGTGTTATAGTTGCAGTTAGATGTAATTTATTTCTGACAGAACTGTTTTTAAAAGGAGAAGACCGTACCAGAAGCCCATTGAGAGTATAAACGAGAACAGTTAAATTCAACAAATATGATTAAAATGCCTTCTGTGTGCTAGGCTTTTTGTGAGAAATTAAGAGAAGCTAAAGGAGCACTTTTCAAGAAGGAAGAAAAAAAGTGAAGGAAATAGGGATAAGCAGATGGGGTTGGGTTCAAAGAATAGTGCCTGTGTACTATGGCAATATTGTGGAAGCAGTTGAATCACAGATGTAGAATTGTTTTTCTTTGAGAGAGAGATGTAGAATTGTTTTTCTTTGAGAGAGAGGAGTGAGATGTTATTGTTTGTTATTCTAGAGATCACATGAGAAATTCAGGATTGACGTAAAAGTAAAAAAAAAAGTCAGTCCCTGAGAATTCTTAACCAGTTTTATATTGTTTGAAATTTGTCTCTGTTTAAACCTTTTTCATAACTAGCTTCAAAGGAGAAGAGTAAAGGAACGACAGGGAAGGCAGTAATACCTAAGCCATTTTATTGATGTGTATTTTCTAGTAAAATTAAGCTGAGGCAACTTGGGTTCTAATGTGACTTTGAGTAAAAGCATATGTTTAGTAAGGGATTGCTAGTTTTTTCATCTCTTTTTTGTTTGGTGTGCCAAAATTCATTAGCAACTCAACTGATGGGAAGTAATCTGAACTACTCTCTCCTTATATCTCAGCTATCCCAATGTTAATCCATTTGAACTTTGTTCTTCTCCTTCCATTTACTTTGTCACATACATATGTCTACATTTCCTACCTACCACTCTGAGTATTTGGGTTTTGCTGCAGAAATGTTACATGTATTTGCTTATGGAGTGCTGCCCAGTTTTTAAATGACTATTGTTTAGTATTGGACATGTTCACCTGTATTACTGTTTTAATCTGAATACATATTTGGCAGCATGTACTAGATAAAGGATTATAGAATCGTACTGTTATTTGTCAGGTAGATTTTGGATCATCTGGAAATGAGACTGAACCACATAATCTCCTTGAATGAAGTAGCTCAGTGATGAAGTTTCATTTTGTGTGTTTCAGAGTTTTTATCTTTCAAAAATTTATTTAGTACATTGTACTAAGTTCCTGTGTGAATGTAGCAGTTTAAAGTGTTAATACTTTAAACCTCTAAAAATTCCTTACTTTTAAGGGAGCTATGAAGGAGTATAAAGCTAACAATGACCCTGTTTCCCAGTGGATTCAGAAATACAAGTCTTAGATAAGTCATAGTCCATTTCATTTCCTTTTTATAGCCTGATTAAATCTGTCCCACATATTCTGTCTTCTCCCTAGTTTCTAAGGCATATATAATCCATACCCAGTTTTCCAACTTTAATTCTTCTAACTCATAAATCTTCTAGAGTAAACAAAACGACCTGTTTGCTTAAAGAAGCATTCTTTATGTGACATTCCAGGAGTTAGCCCCTGTGTGTTTTATATAAAACTTTTATGCTTTTTTTCCCATCCAGTTTATAACCAGGGTATTGGTTGGAGAACTGTTACACTTATTCTGTATTTTTATATCTATGTGCTGTTGATTTCCAAATTTGTATCTTTAATTAGACATCTCTTCTTTCTTCTGGGATCTCATATTGATTTTTCTATATTTGGATATGCCATAGGCATCTTAGAACTAATTAAAACTATTTTTTTCCCTGATATTTCTCATCAGAATCTCCTATTCTGCATTGTTATGTTTCATAAATAAGTAGCTCACAATCAGTTGTGCTTCTTAACTTAAATACTTAGGCATTATCCTTCATTCTTCAAATTTCCTTACTCCTGTTTTTTGAGGAGCAGCCATATTATAGTTGCAGTTGAATGTAATTTATTTCTGACAGGACTGTTTTTAAAAAGAGAAGACCATACCAGAAGCCCATTGAGAGTATAAACAAGAACAGTTAATTTCAACAAATATGATTAAAATGCCTTCTGTGTGCTAGACTTTTTGTGAGAAACTAAGAGAAGCTAAAGGAGAACTTTTCTTGATGTTAGTAGATTCTGTCAAATATACTTTTTGTGACCCTACTTATTTCTCTTTATTTGTACTGTGTAAATCAGAATTACCATTCTCTATGTTAGTATCTTAAATTATGGTCTTCAGACCATTGTTAGTGCACTACCATTTTTTCTGGTCCTCAAGAATTTACTTAAAGAAATGGAGGTTAAATTACTTTTGTAGCATTCATATACATAGATACCTTTTAAAATAATTCATTGTTACTGCCTTTTTTCAGTTAGCCTTAAATTGGAATTTTAAAAGAGGAGAAAAAGCCGAACAACCATATATAATTTTGGGAACACCCAAACTGTAGACTTGTAATAGTCCTTACTGAGCTTTCTGCTTTTATCCTTTGCCCCTTGATTCCCTTACCTAAGCAGTCTTTTTCTTTTGCAGTAGGTGTGACATGAAAATGAAGTCATGTCATTTTCTGGCATAAAAGTTATGGAGCTTTCCAATTACATTTAAATACAGACCTATGCCTGGCACTGTGGCCAGTTCTATAATTCCAGCTACTCAGGCAAAACAGAAAGATCACTTGAGACCAGGAGCTCAAGACCAACATGAATAAAATAATGAGATTCTATTTCTTTTTTTTTGTTTGTTTGTTTTCCGGTACCTGGAATTGAACTCACGACCTTGCGCTTGCCAGGCAGGTGCTGTGCCGCTGAGCTAAATCCCCAGCCCCGAGATTCTATTTCAAAAGGTTAAAAAAAAGAACACCAACTTAACATGAAAGTCCCTATGTAGATTGATTGATCCGTCTATCTGCCATTCTTTCATCCCTACAGTCTACACATTTGCCTTTTATTAGTCAGCTTTTTAATCAGTAAGAACCCATATCCAACGTCCACAACCAGAAGAGAAGTTTAATTTGGCTCACAGTTTCAGGAGATTCAGTCTGTGATCAGTTGGCTAAAGGTAGAAGCATCAGTGGTGGAATGGTGTGGCAGAGAAAAGCTGCATAGTTCATGACAGCTGGGAAACAGAGCAGGGGAATAATGCCAGAGAGAAAGCAGTAAGGGACCACATATAGACTCAAAGCTTAAGCCTCTGAGATCCACCTGAGTATGCCCATGTGCTTTACTAATCCCCTTGGCTGCTCCCAAGCCAATCAAGTTGACAGTCCTTCTTAATTACTGCATCCCAGCCCTTACCAACTTGATACCCAAATATATCTTGTTAAACCATACTAATCTTCAAATATTCTCTGAGGCCATAATTCTGCCCAACATAGTACAACATCCCATGCACAACCTACACACAGGAGTATATTCCCCAGAATCTCAACAATCTCAGCATTGCTAAAAAGTCAAAGTCAAAGTCTCTCCTGAGACTCAAGACAAACTATCAGCTGTATCTTTGGTAAAAACCAAGGATACAGATTATATAATCCCAAAATACAATGGAAAGGCAACTATGCTCACCACTACACCACCAATGCCTGGCTCAAAATACAGTGGGACAGGGTATATATTCCCATTTGACAGGGAGATAATGTGGGGATAGAAAAAAATAGGAACAAGGCAGGATAGACATTTAAGTCATGTAGTTCCATGTCTGGCATGTGGGGCACAGTGATAAGATGTGAGTTCCGGGAGCTTGGGCAGCTCCACCCTTGTTGCCTTGCTGGTTGCAGGCCACACAACCTTTTTCTTATGCTGGTTCTATTGTGGGCCTACAGCTTTCCTCAGCAGACATTCATGTGCCTGGTATCCCTGAATTCCTGGAGTCTCTACTGAACCATTGGCTTTGTTCTTACAGCTTCATGCATTGTTCTCTCAGGGGCTTCTTGCCTGGCTTCTGAGCCCTTCCTTTCAAATCTGGGTGTAAGTCTTCTTGGCCTCACAACTCTTTCAGTCTGCATGCTGGTAAAAGAAGCATAATATAGGCAACACCAAGGTCTGCTGCCAGCTTGAACAGTAATCAGGTCCTGTGTGGACCATGGCTACAGCAGCTTCTGAGTTCCTGAGTGGCTGAACATAGTGAAATGAATCCCGGGGAACCAGTTCTGTAGGCAGCCCTTCTTAAGCAGGGGTCCTGGGGCTCTCTTTCCAAATGACATGTCTACATTTTTGTACCATTGACCCTGCAGTGAGGCGGTGAGTTCTTGCTAATCCTGACATACCCTGAAGACATCTTTCATGTCCCAGTTTAAAGTACTGTACTTGATGTCTTTTTAGTGGTTCTACTCACTTTGGCAGTCATACCTCCTTGGTCCCTAATTTAGGTGTGTCTCCTGGGTTAAAATTTAAGATTTTTCGAAGTTTTCTACTCTGCTTTTTTGACACCAATTCTCACTCTAAATCTGTCCAAAAGCCCCCAGCAGTACCCATGTCATAGCCTAATGTTGGGTTGCCTTGAAATTTCATCCAGTAGAATATTTAGCCTACTACCTTTCATTTAAGTCTTCTGAAATGTCTCAGGACACGGGTAAAATGTAGATAAATTTTCTGCCAGAATGTAACACACTTGGCTTTTAGTGCACCTGTCACCAAAGTCCTTGATACCTTGAAATCTGAGCCTGCGTGCTCTTTACTGACCACATACCTGTCACTATTTTGGTCTGAGCTGTGGCCAAAATAACCTATCAGCGTCTGCTTATATCATTCTAAGGCCTCTTTAACCTGTGTCTCTAAACTTTTTCTATTGCCTCCTGTAAATCAGTTCTAAAGGCTTCTAAACTACATGCTCAAGTACACTCACAACGATAACACCACTTCTCTGGTATCAGTTTTCTCCATTAGCTTTATAGTCACTAAGACATGATACCCAACACTGACAAATTAAAGGAGGAAAAGTTTAATTTGGCTCATGACTTTAGGGGATTCAGTCTCTGATTGGCTGGCTCCAGGGTAGAGCCTTCCTTGCAAAAAGGTATGGCAGTTGGGAAGCAAAGCAAGGGAACATTGCTAGAGGAAAGGGCAAGGGACTAGATATAGACCCCAAGCTCACCTCTCCGTGATCCACCCAAACACACCCAGAAATGTGTGTGCCACCTGCTAACCCTGTAGGAGACTCTAAACCAGTCAGTTGACAGTCTGGCTAAGTGTAGCAGTTTCTGCCTGTGGCATTTGCAAGCATTCCTATGGACGATTGCCTACTCAATCTTTACAAGTTGGCTCCTTTGCATCCTTCAAGTTTCAGCTTAAATGTCACTTTCTTTGAGAGACTTTTTGTAAGCATTCTTTCTAAAAGATATTTTTCTGCCAGTACATACATACCGCTGTTCTTCCTTAATATGTTCCTTTTGTTTTCATATTTGTATATTATGATCTTGCTCCTCTACTACACTGAAAACTTTTGGAGGACAAGACTTCTGTTTTATTTGCCATTTTTTTTTTTTTTTTTTTTTTTTAAAATTTTTCTCTGGTACCGGGAACCGAACTCACGACCTTGCACTTGCCAGGCAAGCGCTTTTGCCGCTGAGCTAAATCCCCAGCCCAGATTTTTACTTTTTTTTTTTTGGTTTTTTTTTCTCCGGTACCGGGAACCGAACTCACGACCTTGCGCTTGCCAGGCAGGCGCTTTTGCCGCTGAGCTAAATCCCCAGCCCCTTATTTGCCATTTAATAACATAGTAAAGCACCTCATACATAGGTTCTGATTTTTTTTTTTTTTAAATGTTGTGCTAGGGAGCAAACGCAGGACCTTAAGCATGCTAGACAAGCATACTACCAACTGAGCTATATTTCAAGCGCTGAATAGGTATTCTTAAAGGAATTTTTAATATAACCATTTGAAATCAAACAAAAGGCACAGTAGTATTTTTTCTTCATGATTTTTACTTGGTTCATGAATTAACCATCATTGCATTTCCTAAGTAGTGGAGGAAAAGCACCAGCAGTTAGTATCAGTAGTTTTAGGGTTTAGTAAATACTTACTAGGAACTGGCTAAGGACTAAGGATGCATTATTATTTTTTAAGTTCTCACAACAATATCAAGATGTAGAAACGGTTACCCCTGTTTTATAGTTGAAGAAATTGAGGCTTAGCAAAGGTAATCAATACCAGAATTTGCCTAGACCTTTGGTGACAAACCCGTGGCACCTGTGCTGTAGTGGGCTGCTTGTATCATTGAAAGCTCTAAAAAGGTTTGCAGTCACTGGCCTAGGTAGTGGCAAATGGGAATATGATTTTAAATAAGCTGAGTAAGACCCTTGCCATTGATCATTCTGCCTTATGGACTTATATTATTATTCTCCCACCTCTCACCTCTTCTTTAAGTCAGACTTACTAGCTTGCCTTCGTCATTATGTAATAGAGAACTTACTAATACTCTTTTATAGTTTTTACTAAACCTTTAGACTTTTAGTATGTGTGAGCTTTTATACTTTGCCTTTGTCTTACTCTCAACCTTCTGAGCCTTTATTTTAGTAAATGTATTCCTAAATTCTTGAATCTGTTATTTCACCTAATAAAAATGAAGGGAAAGAGGGAGGGAGAAGAAGAAAGAGGAACAACTGGTGACTGAAATGGCAATGGAATTCCTTCCTTCCTTACTCTGTTCCATCCTTCTGTCATTTCTTGGCATTCCCTGTAGTCACGTTCATATAGCAACTTCTCTTTCCTATTTATCCATGTTTTCTGTTCATCAGTCCTTCAACAAATACAGATATTTACTGAGACTATAGACACTGTCTAGCTAACTAGACTTACTTGGGACCTGTATTTATAAAAATGATTTTAAGAAAGTATTTTTTTCCTTCAGTAAGAAGAAAAATGAGAAGACAGTAATATGTTTATGTATAAACTTTGTGTAGCTGGAACAGTTATATTACTGAACTTTGTAATCTTTTATCAGAATAACTATTATATAGAAGAGTAGGAAACAGTTTGTTACCTTTAAAATGGAATGCATTCCAAAAATGTTTTCTGATTCCCTTTAAAGGTGGTGTCTGTTTCTAAGAACTGACAGTTGAGTTAAAGTTTCTTCTCTACCATCCAACAATCACATCTTTAGTTTAATCACTCTGTATATACAGTGATTTCTCAATTGCTAAACCATATTCCTACGTGAAACAACTGTATCAGCTAGATTGCAGTGCTTAGGTACTGTTCCTTTATCTTTTGCCTTACAGATTCCATTCATCTCCAGTTTTACTCAGGGCAGCACGTTATTCCCTGCATCCCTTTCAGTGGGCTTGTTTCATACAGCTGCAGTACACATAGATTCTCTTGTCACATTCTGCCTTCTGTGCTAAGATCTCTCAACCACCTACATTTTTTAGAAATTTACATACATTAGTGTTTAATGTTTGTGCTGACAGGTGCCTACAGTATTGTTTTGTATTCTCCATTACAGCATCATGCAGAATAAATTAAAATTTTAAATCTTATAAATTTTTGTTTATTTTGTGATTTCAATAAACTAAGACATAGCATGTGGCACAGAAAAATTTGGTAAAATTTTATTATATGGATAAGTGTTGAAAATTGAACATAATAGCATTTTCTTAAATATTCATCATGAATTATTACTGCCATTATGTCAACAGGTATTTCTGTGCATTATAAAGCCTGGTACATGTACAGTAAAAAGATGACTATTTGTTTAATGCAGCCAGAATTACTACGAAGTCATTTCCAAGTAATATAGACCTTTAGATATATTTGCCTCATTGTTTTTAATACTCTTCCTCTCCTAATTAAAAATAAAATTAAGAAAAAAGATACAAGAACTACTTTAGATCCCAACTCCGAATAGCTCCCTCCTCCAGAATAGCTTACTGCCCCTTCCTGCTCCTGCCAGCAGTGCCTCACTCGGAGTACCATTTCTACATTTGTGGCAGGAGCAGTCAGCGTACTATGAAATTTCTTTCTTTGCAGACCTAGACATCTGTTAACGTAGATAGTACATGGCAATGTATATACCCACTTTCCTTGTGACTACAAGATGGTTAAGTACTGTTAAGGCATTTTAATATTTTTATGAAGCAGATAAATTTATTTGAGATGTTTTTTTTTATTTTATAAATAACCATATATGAATATAAATACTTTTTAGGCATCTTTGTAAGTTTGAAAATAAAAATACAGTTTTTGTAACACTTGTGATTTCTTTTTCTCCTCATAGTTTCTCAAGCAAGACCTCCCCCAAATCAGAAGAAAGGTGAGGTTGAGCAAATGTTTTTAAACTTACCTTGAAAAGTAAATGTGGAAACACTAGAACCAGGGCCAGCGTTGTGCTTGTGCATCTGTGTCAAATGTAGGTGCTTGGTATCCACTCCTATTAGTACTTAACAGTGATTGTTAAATATTTTTATTGTTATTGCTGGCTTAAAATAGTTTTTAGGCTGAAAAGAACAAATTATAAATTTGTAAACCCTTAATTTCCAGTGGAGTAAGTATGATTCCTTTTAATAATATTTGCTGTCTTTAAAATTTTTGTTTTTACAGGGTCACGCACACCCATTATCATAATTCCCGCAGCTACCACCTCTTTAATAACCATGCTGAATGCAAAAGACCTTCTACAGGATCTGAAGTAAGGAATTCGTCAAACTTTTTTTTCTTTTAAATAGGACATTGAGATACTGTTGAGAAGTAATCGTTAACTGATTCAGTATTACTGATTTGGAGGAAACAAATTGTACTTAAAATATAGTTGAACTATAACTTTTCACAGTCAGGTTCATTCTTTTCTGTCTAGCTCCTTTAGAGGAAGTTACAGAAACTTTTGTCTGAGGTCCTGCTGGAAGGGATATTATTATATTAACTTGTAAAATGAATTATTCTGATTTTTTTGCTGAAGAGCTGGAGTTATTCGTAAAACAAATTAAGTTTTTCTCTGTGTTAGATGTGTGTATAGTCTGCAGATGGGGCGCAGTTATTTAACATACACAACAGTACAAGTTAAAGAAGTATATACCTTCTGGTAAAATTAACATGTTCTTAACTTTTTGAAATTTTTAATATCTCCCTCCCTCCCTCCCTC